CACCCCACAACTCTCTCGTGTGGCTTTTAGTTTTTCTCACTTTGGTGAGGCCCATTCCTTTGGTTCCGCTATTTATTCCGTCACCTTATCTCTTGTCCTCAATATACACTGTGAGTGTTAAGTTTTCCAAATCCTCTTTCCTCATTATGTATCCAAGGAATTCCAGCTGTTTTTTTCTTGTTTTTGAGTATGTGTTCTTTCTTTTGCAATTTTCTTTAAAACTTACTTACTGTTTACTCGGTCTTTTCATGGAATTCTCAGTATCCTCCTGTAGATCTACATTTTTGCTGCTTCTATTTTTTTGTCATCTTTAGGGAAATTGTCCAACATACACTGACATATAAAATGGATGGATAGCACCTCGGTTAGCATTTGGAATACCACTTTTGCTAAGTCCAAAGTAAAATATACAACAGTGGTGAAATACCGGAAGATTTAAGTAGATCCGTTTTCACAGCGCTGCCCAAGAAGCCACGTATACAAATATGTCAACTCCATCGGATAATCAGTCTAATGAGCTACATAGCAAAACTTATCATTCAAAATCTTATCAATAGGGCACGCATAAATATTAAATCGGAAATAGAATAAGCGGGATTTTGTTAAAGAGACTTGAACAAGAAATGCGGTATTTATGCCCAAAATGATATCACAAATAGCAAAATAAATGCAAAAGATATATGCATGTGTTTTATTGATTATGCAAAGGAATAATTCTTATACTGCGATTAAATCTCGTTGATAGAAAATGAATTCAGTAAATACAGAAAAATAGAGAGGGGCTGAAGATGAGGATATATGTTCGCATCAAAATTATACAGTGAAGCAACCCTGAGAGAATTAGACGTCCTAACAAGTATTGGCGGTCGCAATCTTAACAGTATTAGTTATAAAATAACACGATGCAGGTACAGTAAGGAAACTACATCAACTCTTAATGAAGGTATTAAATGAAGACGAGAAGAAAGGACTAAAGATCAACTGAATGTACGGTACAACAGAATATAAGGTACAATAGAATATAAAATACAACAGAATATAAGGGACAACAGAATGCAAGGTACAAAAGAATATAAGGTACAACAGAATATAAGGTAGAACAGAAAATAAGGTACAACAGAATATAAGGTACAACAGAATATAAAATTCAACAGAATATAAGGGACAACAGAATGTACGGTACAACAGAATATAAGGTACAACAGAATATAAAATACAACAGAATATAAGGTACAACAGGATATAAGGTACAACAGAATGTACGGTACAACAAAATATAAGGTAGAACAGAAAATAAGGGACAACAGAATATAAGGTAAAACAGAATATAAAATACAACAGAATATAACGGACAACAGAATGTACGGTACAACAGAATATAAGGTAGAACAGAATATAAGGGACAACAGAATATAAGGTAGAACAGAATATAAGGAACAACAGAATATAAGAGACAACAGAATGTACGGTACAACCGAATGTACGGTCATCAGTAAAAGAATCATACGAATTGCAAAATGGAGGTACCAAAATAGAACAAGCGCAGAAATTTAAATATCTAGAAAGTGTTTTAACAGAGGTTAGAATATCTCACAGTGAGGTAAGAAGGTACAGTGAGGTATTTGCCTTCCAGAAGCTAAGTAAATAACTAAGAAACAGGAAAGTTTCATTAGAAACAAAGAAAATACGAGTGAACTGTTATGTAATTTAGGTCCTCTTATATGGCCCGGAATGCTGGACAATCTCATCACAGATGGAAAAGAAATTTGAGGTAAGGGAAGAGTGATACTACAGAAAGAAGAGGAGAATATCACGGTTGGGCATGTGGGCAATGATGAAGGTTTAAGGAAAATATAAACAAATACGACACTTATACATGGAATTAGAAAGAGGGGTGAAATGGCACATAATAAGAAAAGACGGCTTGAGCAATTTGACACCCACAGTACGTGTTGAAGGCAAGACGGACAGAGGAAAGCAGCAGATAACATACTTAACGTTGGCAGATCTTAAATTGGGAGATATAGTAAAAAGACAACTTTTGCTAAGGGTTACAAGAGAAGGAAAATTGTGGAGAGCCATGATCGCCCAGGGACACACATAACTGAGGAAGAATACTTAGGAGATTCTTTAGTAGCATTAAATTTTTTGCATTATTTCAGTTTATGTTTGTGATTCTGAGATGTAGTTCTATAATGGAATTTTCGAATAATTGTTGTTTCTTCCTGTTCTTGCACCAAACTGAAGTTTAACGTCATTAAAGAGATGACGTTTCTTTAAAGATAAAAAAAATAAAACAAAATTAAAGTAAAAAAAAAAAATGTTTCATCCGGCGACCTTCTGTCCAATACTCTTGACATTTGGCTGTTATAAAGTCAACCAGAATTAACACACCCGCAAAGATAGCAAAAAGGAGTCGATTCATATTCTACGCCAAGACAAAGATAAAAGTTACAGAAATATGTAAAGAAAAAATAATAATAATAAAACAAAATAAAACAAAAAGTAAAAATAAAAATGCCCGAAAATAGAGCTTTAGTATTTTGGGAATAATCACAACATTACATTCGAGCTTGGCTTGCGATCCGGGCATGCGCAAACGCACGCGCATAAAGCACGCATGCGCATGACTAGTATTCGACTCCCGAGCGTACTGCCTCTCAAATGCACGCTAAACTGGAACAAGCAAGATATTTATGAATAATCTGTTCACATCAGAGGCAGATATTTTGGGGGCAGAATCGTGAGAAGGCACATCCTCGTCAGGAGGAAAATTTCTCTTTCTTTTCATACGTTTTTCAAGACTACAAATAAGACATTTCTATACTTATCAATGGGAAAATATTCGCTTTTTCTTTTTGGCCTTGTGAATGATAGCGCTGTGAGTTATAATTATTACTGCTAATACTATCATTACGACAGCGAATAATACCACCACCATTACCCGTCACGTCTATCATCATCATCATCATCATCATCATCATCATCATCAATAATGATAATAATATTATTATTGTTGTTTTTAAATATTGTTATTATTATTATTGTTTTTTTTGTTATTATTGTTATTATCATGACTGTTATTATTATTGTCGATATTATTATTATTATTATTATTATTTGTGTATGTTATGCTCCCTGTGTTTATCCTACAGCATCTGGTCCTTGGGCTCTATAGAATAACTGTCATTTAATTGATAGCACTTTTCTTAGTATATGGGATGTTCCTAATAGGGCGATGCGATCTTCTGGGCAACGTGTATGTTGATGTTACCGGGGACTCTGTTGGTAAAATTGCTCATTGTTTTTCTGACGAGGCCTAGAACTCCGATTACTATTGCTACAGTCTCAATCTTAATTCCCTACATCCTGTTAATCTCAATCTTTAGGTCCTTGTATTTGGACAATTTCTCGATAATTTTCATGCAGATGTTTCTCTTAGATGGTACTGCTATGTCAATAAGCATAAACTTCTTGAATTTCTTGTCTTTTATGATAATGTCAAGTCTGCTTGTTTTTATTTCCTGTCAGTTTGAATTGGTGTGTCTCGGAGGAGAGTTACATCGTTATTTTGGGTAATTGTGTCTGGTTGGTGATCATACAATCTCCCAGTGCTTTCGATTTTGTGCTTCTTGCATATCTTCCAGTGCGCATATGTCGCTACCTTGTTATATCTGTGGGGTGGGTATATTCATTTATTATTATTATTATTATTATTATTATTATTATTATTATTATTATTTATTTTGATTTCTGATGTGTACTCATTTCTTTCCGGGTCCCGCCAAGGCTAGAAATGACATCATGACATTTTCCACTGGAAAGCAAAAAAAACAAAACAAAACAAAAAAAAACAAGCATATTTTACATATATAAAGCCCTTCGTAAGGTGTGGGCTGTACTCGTGAGAACAATTTTTTGTATTTCTTAAGGCATGGGCTTCCAGGAATCCTTTCAATTAGTCTACTGGAATCTTTTCCAATCAATCGAAGGTCTCCAAATACAACGGGGATTGTTGATGTTCCCATGTGCCACATTTGAGATATAGATTCCAATTATTATTATTATTATTATTATTATTATTATTATTATTATTATTATTATTATTATTTCTGTTGTATTCACATTTCCTTCCGGGCCCAACGAGAGACCTAAAGTCAATAATGGCTTTATGACATTTTCCACTGAACATTTTTGGAAAAATAAAGAAATAAAAAATAATTATTATTGTTGTTGCTGTCATAATTATTATTGTTATTATTATTATTATTATTTCGTATTATTATTATTAGTAGTAGTAGTGTTAGTATTTTATATTATTATTATTATTAGCAACACCAGCAGCTGCAGCAGTTAACATTTGTAAATCTCTTGAATGAGTGCTTCCACTTTCCGCCATTTTCTGTTCTTGTGGTGTTTCACATTTTTTAAAGAAAAAGATTTTTTGTATTTTTCTACGAAACCTTTTGATCTCGTAAGATTCTGCAAGTGTTCTCCCTCTCTACAGGTGTGAACCACCTATTTCGAGCTTCGAGTACACGACTGGACTCAAACGGATCTCTCCTGCCACCGCTACTTACCCCCCCCTTACATGTCACGATTCTAAACATTTTGCATTCCATTATTCTCGGCCCTCAAGCCGAGGATCCTAGTGTCACAACTCGCCTATGAAGCACAGCGACACTATTTGCATTATTCGGACTATTGTCCTCATCTCTGTCGCTATATTCATTTGTAATGAATATGGCGACAAAGATGATACAATAGTCCGAATAATGTAAATTGTTACATAATACCTCATCTCAGAAATATAGACAGTTACTGAAGCACAGCGATTGGAACAATTAGCTCGGCACTTGATCCGTACAGATCGATAAGCTGAAGAAATCAGTTGCATACTGAGTTTGAGATTTCAACTTTTCTTCTCCTTTCTTTTCCTTTTCACAAACTCAAACAATGATTCAGGTCTAGGTTTAAAAAATGCCATTGTTAAATGGCTTATGGTTCAATGTTTCTTACTTGGAAAGGCATATTCTTTAGAGAAATCTCTCTCTCTCTCTCTCTCTCTCTCTCTCTCTCTCTCTCGCACAAACACACAAATAAAAACGTACACAGGTATACGCCAACTTTATAAATATATATATGTATTATTATAATTATGGATTGGTAGTAGGGATTAGAAATCCATTAAATTATTATTATGGACAGCGCGCTCCCGATCTTAACCGATGCGTGCGCCATACAGATGCCATGACGAGTAGGAAGGCACCGCTGTGAACATTTGATTTCTGTTCTATAGTCCTTTCCGTCCGTCCGGGCTCCAACCACTGACCTAGGTCAGTAATGGTATCATGGCATTTTCTACTGCACATGCGTGTAAAAATATAACAACACCTAAAATTACATACATTTTACATATATAAAGCCATTCGGAGGTTTTCATCTGTAATGATTTTGATTTTGTATTTCTTTAAAGCATGGTCTGCGAAGAATCCTTTCCATGAGTCTATCAGAACCATTCCCAAATAAATCCCAAACCCCAGTAACAGCTAAAATTACTGATGTCCTCCTGAACCACATTTTTTAAAATTTCACTCCAAAATGCTTGTCCGTTGATAGGTTTCGGCAGATTTCAAACGTTACATTAAGGTCAACAGGAACTGCCCTGTCAATAAAAAAGCATATTCTTTTATTATTTTTATTATCATTTAGTTTGATTTCCGTTGTTTTTTCCGGGTCACAACCAAAGACTTAAGATCAGAAATGGCTTCATGACATTTTCATTGGGCATTTTTGTAAATAAACAAATAAAACTATATAATACCACATACCATTTTACATTGATAAAGTCCTTCGTAAGATGCGAGATGGACTTGTGAGGACTATTCTTTGTGTTTCTTTTCCAATCAAACCGAACACCCCAACTGCAACTGGAATTACTGATGTCTTCATGTTCCACATTTATTATTATTATTATTATTTGCTCCTTTGATTTCTGTTGTATACTCATTTCCTTCCGGGTCCCAACCAGAGACCTAAGGTCAGAAATGACTTCATGACATCTTCCACTGCACATTTGTGTAAAAATAAAATAACACCTAAAATTACATGCATTTTACATTCAGAGGTTGTGAACTCTACTTTTATTGTATTTCTTTAAGGCATGGTTTACCAGGGATCCCTTCCATGAATCTATCAGAACATCTCCAAAGTAAACTGGTGTGGTGTCCTCCCTCTAAAGAGTCTATGTTGGACTCTTCCGCCTACTATAAGATTAGTAAGAGAGAAGGCCTAAGGGGGACAGTCGAATAGATTGAACGCTGGCTCAACCGACACACACTTACTAGTCGTGTAATACCACTTACTGTTAATATATGATATATCTGCAACACTTGTTTTGTTATTTCTTTAACCATTTACTTGGTCACAACATAAACCCAGAACCCCAGTAACAGCTAGAATTGATGTCTTCATGGACCACATTTTTGAAATTTCCACTTCAAAATGCTTGATAGGTTTTTGCAAATGGCAAATGTTATATTAGGGTCTACAGGAACTGCTCTGTTAATGAGAAATCGCATTCTGTTTATTATTATTATTATTATTATTATTATTTCATTTGATTTCTGTTGTTCCCCGCCCTGGGTATGACGATAAAATAAATCCGCGTCCTGCGTAAGACGATAAACTACGCCCAACAGCAAGGCCTCTGATCAGGTTTTGAGTAGCGTGGAACCACTTCTTAATTGCTGGTGTTCCCAGGTCCACCTTGACGCAGGGTGGTAGCACCTGCTAGGGTCCCAGCAATGGGCAAATAGTTGACACCCAAACTTGTGTAAAAATAGGTTTTAATACCAGAAACACTTTGTAATAAAAAATATTACCAGCAATAATTTTTGAAGGAAAATTATCAGCAATACATTAAAAAAACGTACCAGCAATACAAACAGCTATACATTCTTTGAAAAAAATATGACCAGCTATAGATTTCTCCAAGGAAAAATATTCTCAGAAATAGATTTTTCAAGAAAAACATTACCAGCAATAAAAATTTTGTCGGCATTAAATAACCCATTGAGGTTGATAAGCCGTAAAACAAACCAAACCAAACCAAATTCTGTTGTTCCTTTCGGATCCCAACCAGAGACCTAAAGTCAGAAATGGCTTAATGACATTTTCACTGAATATTTTTGTAAAATAAAATAAGATCCTACTCATTTTATATAGATAAATCTCTTCGTAATGTGTGAGCTGTACTTGTAAGTAAAATTTTTATATTTCTTTAAGGCGTGGGCTACCAGGAATCCCTTAAATATGTCCTGGAAACCGTTTCAATCAATCTCAGACATACAACTGGAATTATTAATGTCCTCATGTACCACATTTTTGAGATTTTTACTTCAAGATCTATGTATTTTGATAGTTTTCTTTATGATCTTCAATGATACATTACAATGAGCAGTCAATATGAAACATTCTGTTTATGTTATCTTTGACCACAAAGTCTGGGCGATTAGCTTTTATTGTGTGTATTGTAAAATCCCATACAATTATTACAGATCCTGTCTCTGTAACTGGTTGTGGTTGATGTTCATACCAGTTTCTTGAAGTTTTCATCACGTAAAAGTTGCAACGTTCAGATATTGGCCCACACTATCATGCCGTGTTTTATATTCAGTGGGTACTAGTACCGCTCAATCTGACACAAGATGGTCGACTGTTACTTATCACAGAATCTGCATTTCGGGTTAACACAATCTTGCAGTATGAGTGCTTGGTAATTTCTAGTTAGCAATCATTGTGCAGCAAGAATAAAACCTTCTGTTTCAGCTTTTAACCCTTAACCACTGATGGGTACGGTGTTTGTCGTGTTTGGTATGGACAAAGTATTGTCCACCAATAGGCTTATCTTGTCACAGCTTCTGCATTTGGTGCACTGCATTTGTTGTTAGGTTCTTTGACGCTGCATTAGGTGTATTATGATTTATCTGCACTTCTTCGCTCACTTGAAATTCTCTTTTGAATTTGTTGGTTTTCTTTATTATTGAAAAAAAATTTTTTTTTTCATGCTCTTTGACACAGATCATCATCCAGTCTTCTGTCGTTTCAAGGTATATTGAAGACATTTATATTATTATTATTATTATTATTATTATTATTATTATTATTATTATTGTGCCGTACATCGACTTAGTCAATGGGAATTCTGTTCTTGAACCATGTTGTCATCAAGACCTCAAGAAACCTTCGGAGAATCATTGCAAAATAATGGATGGTCGTTTTCTGGAGCTCTACAATTTTAGTCCCAATTTCAATTTTAATTTCAATTATTATTGTTATTATTATTGTTGTTGTTGTTGTTGTTGTTGTTATCCGATGTATCCCTACGGCGCCAAGGCAAGGTTGTAAAATATATGTTCAGTTTGCACAAATTCTGATGTTAAGTGATACTGAACACATACAGTGTTTATATTTTCTTTACATTGATAATAATACTCTCTTGAGTAGTTGACCAGTTCCGCACAGGACAATTTCCTTAATCTGTTGTAAACAGGGGCCATTTTGGATTTTGTTAATGTTTATTTTTATCGTTCCCAGTGCTCCAATTATTATCATTATAACAATGGTTTTAAGCTATCACATCTATTCAGATTCAGTACACATTTAATTATTTGTAATATTCTTTAAATTATGTATTTTTTATCCGATGGTGTTGAGAAGACATTTTGTTTGGCGTCTTCTTCTTCTTCTTCTATTTGTTATTATCATTATTATTATTTGAGTGAGTAGTACGCAAACAAAGTAATGCTGGACTACAATTATACGAAGCCCAGTATTCTCATCATGACAATCAGTTTAATAAGTATATACCGAAAATATGCATCACGGCTAAACCATTGCGATATGGTAACAGTTTTGGATAAAAGTAGCGTTGCATGTGAGACACTGTAAGAAATAGTTTCAAATTGGCTAATCCAGTACGTTTCTGATTGTAAGTGTTCCCAATTATCTAGCCGCGACTCCCAAGTTGCCATATTTGCTTCATACTTAAAACTTTAACAACCCTTGTATAAGATATGTACAGTGCTTCAACTCTGAAAGAAGATGCCCAATTGGTTATGGATAGACAATTGATAAGCACATCTGTGGTACTGACCAGGTTATTTAATGTAACTCATTTTAATTTAACAACAAATAATGTGTACATGCTACACGTCTAATCAATTAAGATCACAAGCTATGAGAGTCATGCCTTATATAGCATCAGGGCATTTATTATTATTATTTGATTTGATTTATGTTGCATATTCATTTTCTTCCGGATCCCAACTAGAGACCTAAGGTTGGAAATGGCTTCATGTCATTTTCCACTGCACATTTGTTTAAAAAATAAAAATAAAGCAGCCTAAAATACACACACATTTTAATAGATAAAGCCCATCTTATGCGAGCTGTGCATGTGAGAAGAGTGTTTTGTATTTATTGAAGGTATTGCATATCTTCTATTGTCTTCTCCCGACCGGGTGGCGAAATGGTTTGGGGTCAGAAGATAAAAGACGTCAACAAAGATAATTTTACTTATCTAGTTTTATTAATCACGTGACGTCTGCATTTCTGTGGAGCCGATTCAGACACGAAAAGAAACACGTCAACATTGCTTGAAGGTTAAAAATCAATTCACTTAAAAACTTTTCTCTATCTCTCTTCCCACGCTCGTTTAGACAATCAAAATCGACATCTTTATTTTGTCTTCCATCTGACCTCGAAGGTCAACCTCAGGAATTCCGAACATAGATACACTTCCTTTAAAAAATAATAGTCTGCTAAACTATTAACATTCATTACATAATCATTAAAAAAAATAATTTATGAATTTTATTTCAACTATGTTACTCTAAAATCTCCTCTACTCTTCCGTGTATGCAAGTCATACTCCTTACATTTGTTCTTCGTTGGGCCTCAGTCACATGACTCCACCGACATGCACATATACAATTCCCGAATTTTAACAAAAATGAATACCTGACGATCTTTTTCCATTCTTAATCACTAGCTTCCGTGACCTATGGTCAATGCCTCAGACGTCAGTCTGGGTACAATTCACTCCAATAGTG